GACAAGTTCCCAGAGCCCGTCTGGAGCAAACAGGCCAAGATGGGAGAGCTCTGCCCACACAGGGCCGGCTCACTCATCCTTCCTTTGATCCTGTAACCTCTGCCAAACTCCTGGCCCCAAGCAGGGAGAAAAGGGATCCTGGGGATGCAAGGGGGACTGGGGACCAGGGGGGCTGAGTGACCCTCGTGGGGCTGGGGGCTGCCTTGTACCAGCGGGAGGGGAAACCCACCAGGAACAACTTGAAAATAAAACTAGGAAGGGAGAGAAACGGGACGTCCCCTGTCCTTGAGGATTTTGTTGCCCAGGTACAGGCAGGGTCCCCTCCCAAAAAGGGATTTTTTTGGGCGACTGGAGAGGTTGCACCGTGCATGGAGCCCTCAGTGATTTTTTTTTTCTCTGCTCCCAGAACCGCCGGTTCTGTCTCTTTTCCCCTGCCCTCGGGATGCCTCAGGCTGCGGGGGTCGGGGCAGCCTCGGGAGTCGGGGCAGCCTCGTCCCGGCCGCTCGGGCGCTGTGCGGCAGAACGACCCCAAATCCCGGCTGTTATCCCAGAGAGGGAGGGAAAGAGGACCCCCAACAGCATCATTTCATCAGATAACGCCGTTTGCTGCAGCTGTCGGATTTAAGAGCTCCTCGGAGACCGGCTCCGCTCGGGAGCGCGGGCAGACAGCGGGACCTCGATCGATTATCAATAGCAGCCCGATTATCGATAGGAGCCGATAGAGCCTTCGAGGGGACCAGGGGACAGCGGGATCCTGATTATCGATAGGAGCCCGATTATCAATAGAGCCTCCGAAGGGGACGTGGGGACAGCAGGACCCCGATAATCGATAGGAGCCGATAAAGCTCGGAGGGGACATGAGAACAGCAGGACTCTGATTATCGATAGGAGCCGGTAGAGCCTCGGAGGGGACCGGGCGACCCGGGAGGGGCAGCGACACCGAGCCCGGGCTCCGGACAAGGAGCGGGGCGGATCTGCGGCTCCGTGTCCCGGGGGTTCTCGGTGGCGGCGGGCGGGGGGTGCTCGCCCCCGGCCCCATCCCATGACGGCGATGAGGCGGCGATAATGCCATTAGCCCGGGATTAGGCGCCCGCGCCGGGATGTGACACACTTTCCCGAATGGAAGTTTTTTAAACAGAGGGATTTGCGTGATCCCCCACCGCGCCCCTCCATCCCCATCCCCGCGCCCGTTCCCATCCCCATCCTCGGTGCCAGCCCCGGTTCCAGGCGGGTCCCCTCGCTCTGGCACGGCTCGGACCGGGGCTCCCGTCTCCTTTTAAGGCAGCGGGCTCGGTGCGGGCTCGGCGCCGCGTCCCGACGTGGAGAGCCCCGGGGGCGCGGGGCTGGAGGGGTCACTCCGCCCCCGCGCAGGGAGAGCGCTCCGAAACTCAAAAAATAATAATAAAATAATTTAAAATTCAGCTAAGTGCGGGTTCACAGCTCAGAGTGGCGCGGTGTAACGGGAGGATGGAGGATGCGTGTGTCTCCTCCCGGCCGGGCCGGGGTCACTCGCTGCCCGCCCTGCCAAACAGGCTGGGAAATGTGTTTATAAATTGTTCAAACTCTGGATAAACTTCAGCGGCGTTTGTGTCTGCGTCTCCCCGCATGTTGTTATTTTCCAGAAATCTGGATTACTGGAAATATTTTCTTTAAAGCTGGAGAGAAATCTAAACAGTCTGAGGGCAGGGGGATCTCGGGGGGGCTGCGGGGCTCCGCGGGGTTCCCTGCGCTCCCAAGGGCCGGGCAGCGGGAGGAAAAGCGGGGTGGCGGTGCCGAGGCTGGTGTCACATCGAGCATCCCTGGGCAGCTGTGGATAAAAAGGCATCAACCGGGCCCCGGTGCCCGGCGGCCCTTCCCCGTCCCCTCCAGCGGGCAGCGGGGCCCGGCGGGGCAGCGCAGCCGTTTTCCCGGGATCTCCGAGGGATAAGGATATTCCCACCCCGCCCAAGGGTGCGAGGGGAGACACGGCGCCCCGCAGAAGGAAAAGCGGAGGAGGGCTGTGCTGGGCGCGGGTGGGTGAGATCAAACGAGGACAGGTCCGTCACACGCGGGGCTCTTTTCCCCTCGAGGTGGAGCGGAGGAGAGGGGCTGACCGAGCTGCTGGGGCTGCAGGGCCGCCCCTCGCCCCCTCCCCGCCCGCCCCAGGCCCGGCTGGGGCTGCGGGGCCGGGCCGGACCGGGGGACGCGCCCCGGGGCTTGGGGGACCCGGTTCCCTTCGGGACGGAGGGAGCTCCCCCAGCCCGCACCTGCGGCTTCACTCGGGGAGTGTCTGACGTCCCCCGGTCTGTCTGTCCGGCTGCTCCCGGGGAAGGACAGCCCTGTGGGAGAGCAGCGTGCTTCCCCCGACGCCACGGCCTGTTTCCACCCCCAGTTTGGGAAGGTGCGAGCAGCCGGGCCGCCCTCCCCAAGGGCTCGGGGGTCTCCTCTTGCCGTGGCATCACTGCCGGGGATGGGGGGCCCGACGGGCCGCCCTGGGCACAAGAAAACCCCTTTGGGCCGGTGCAGCCGTCGGGGGGAGCGCTCCCCGGGGCGCGGGGCCGCCGCAGCCCGCTGGAGCCGGGAGGAGGGGAAGGCGGAGGCCCGGCTGCTTGTGAGAATTGTTATTTTTCATCAATCACCCGCAATTTGTGTAAGTGCCCCGGACAGGACACCAGCCGTCCTGCTGGCTGGGGTCACGGAGACAACACAGCGATGGAGAAGAGCAAATTGCATTTGCTCACCAGCTCACAGATCCAAATTACGGCCCTCGCATGGCGCGGGGAAGAGAGCGAAAGGTCCATGTGACATGAGGGAAATATGAAGGACTTTGACAGGTCTTAAACGGCCTGGCGCCAAGGCCTAAGTCTACCGGCTAAAAATAGAAAAGGGATGATGAGTGGAGATGGGCAGAGATGAAAGGGGAAGAGCGAGCGGGGCCGCGATGCGGGGCGGGTGGGGGGCGGCCCGACGGGACGGTTTTCCCGGGCTGGACCGGGACGGATCCCCGGAACGAATCCACTGGACAAATCCACGGGACAAGCCCGGTCTTCATACACCCGACCCGGGGATTGGGGACCGGGCCCGGGGGCGACCGGGACGGCTCCCAGGAGCCGGGCACAGCGGCCCCGAGCGCTGCAGAGCCCCAGGGCAGCTCGGAACATCTTCCCTCGCAGGGGACACCTTCCCTCGCAGGGGACTGCGCGGGGACACTCCTCGGCTGCCCTCGGGACGGGAACCGGCCCGGTGCTCCTCTCTCCCTGCCCGGTGCTCGGTCACCGACGGGCGACGCGCGGGCACGGCCCGTCCGCGGGCGCGGACTCCTGGGTCGTGCCCAGGGCCGCGAGGGGTGGCGGGTGTCCCTGTCCCCGTTGTTACCCGGTCCCCGTGAGCCCCCCATCCCCGCAGCCCCGCCGGCGGCCGTCGCTACGGAAGGTCGGAGACGAGGCTGCTCTGGATGGGTTTTATTCTGCGGGAGTTGCAGCGGGGCGGGGGCGCGGGCGGGTGGCGGCCCGGAGGACAGGCCACCTTTCCCCGCGGGGACACGGCTGCTCCAGGCCCAGAAGGGCCGGGCCCCGCGTCTTCCCGCGGAGCAGAGGGCGAGGTGTCCGGGAGAACCATCCCGGAGTGGGGAGATTCTCCCCGAGGCAATTTTTCCACGTTTTTCTTGTTGGGGGGGGGGAGTGCGTGGAAATTGAAAAAAAAAAAAAAAAATACAAGCAAGCCCCACTTTTGCCAAAGCTGTCGTCAGCACTTTTCCACGGCGGCGAGGAAGCAAAGTCCGAATTGGGTTTAAATTTCAGTCCGTTCAATGGTCAGCGGGACCCCCCCACCCCGGGCGCGGTGCGGGCAGAGGTGAACCTGCCGCGGGACGCGGGGCAGGTGGAGATCGGCCCCGAGACCCCCGGGATGGGGATGGGGCTGCCCCGGGGGCTGGGGTCGCTACCAGGAGGATGAACCGGGGCGGAGGAATAAGAGGAGAAGTCGGGATGGGAAGGGGACACCCGGGGGTCCCCGCATCCCACCCTGCGCGGGGAGCAGCGACACGGGACCGCGAGGGCTCCGAGTGCTGCGGCCGCGCCTCGCTGCGCGCCCGCGGAGCGGCAGGGCCCGGGGGCGGGGGGACAGGCCGGGGGGCAGAGGAACGGGCCGGCCACCACCCCCCCCGTCCCGCCTGGTCGCAGCGCAGGCGGCGGGGGCAGGAGCCTTGGAAGGATGGCAGGGCGCTTTTTGAAGATTTGGGGGTAAATATGAAGTGACAAGAGACGGGTCTTTATTGTGAGGGCTCAGCCGCCTGGCGCCAGGGCCCTCTTCAGCCACCGCGGCCCTCAGTTAATCAGCGCAGATCTCCAAACCGGCCCCTCCGAGGGGACACCCACCGCGCCCGCCGCCCCCCCGGGCCCCGGCGCGGCGGGACCGGCCCTAATCCCTCAGCAAACAGCCCCGGAGTGTCCCCCCTCCTCCTTATCGGCCTCCCCCCGCCCGGGCAAACAGCCCCTCCGGCCTCGACGGCGGGGTCTGCGGACCTGCGCCGCCTCCGCGGGCGCGGAGCTGCGGGCGGAACCCCCCCGCTCCCGCTCGGGGCGGCCGCCGGCAGGGTGGGGGGCGACGGCTGGGAGCGACTCACCCGGCCCCGCCCCCGCGGCTCCGCTCCCCGCTCCGCCGAGGCGGCTCCGCGCTGGCCCCGCACCGGCGGCGCAGCCGGGGCTGACCCGGTATGCGGAAAGGAGCCGGGGGTGGGATTTCGAGCACTTTTCTCTGTCATTGGTTAATATTTTATTCTGTTGACATGTTTTCTTACTGCCGATGCTTCCGACACCTTCTTCTTTTTTTTTTTTTTTCTTCTCCCTTTTTTTTTTTTGCCTTCTTCCCTTCCTCCCTCCCTCCGCGCCCCCCGCCCCCCCGCGCCCGGAGCTTGGCCGGAGCTGTCAAAACCCCGCCTATGCAGATCCACAATTGGTCTGAAACGCGTAAAATCAGCAATCAAGGGGGCTTGGCTCATTAGCGGGCGGATCAGAGCAGGAAGGACATGTGAGATAGTCACAGTTTTACAGAGATCAGGACAAGATCTCACCGCTCCCACTCGGCTCCTTTGGCCATGAGCAGCGGGAGCCGCAGCGCGCAGCGCGGAGCGCGGAGCGGGGCCGGCCCCGCCGGGGCGCAGCCCGGGCCCGCGGGGGTGTGAGGGCAGCGCGGCCGCCCCTGCTCCGCCGCGCCCCGCGCAGCCCCGCGCAGCCCCGAGCCGGCTTTTGTTTCTATTTTAGTGTCGGGAAGGACTTTCCTGGGAGGGCTCGTTCCCTCGCTCGCTCTCCCTCGCTGCAACAACAACAACAAAAAATAAGGACCTACTGTCTCCCCTCCGCAGACCGGGAGTCCCAGGAGCCGGGAACTGCTTCGCTTTTCCTTTTTTTTTCTTCTTATTTTTTCTTTCTTTTTATTTTTAATTTTTAATTTTTTTAATCCCGAATCTAATTCGGCTGATTTTCGCCTCTTTTTTTATGCCTTTTTTTTTTTTTTTTTGGAGACTGTGTGTGTGCTGTTGATTTTCCTTCCTCTCCCAGAGACTCGAGCGAGTTCGCCGGGCAGGAGAGGGGAAAAAAAAACCAAAACCCAACAAACACACACACGCGCGTTTTTGTAAAGGGAATCCCTCTTTTTCTCCTGGATTTGTGGATGCACCGATGAGAGATCCAGCCTTCCCAGGGACTGCCATGGCTTACCACCCCTTCCACGCACCCCGGCCGGCTGACTTCCCCATGTCCGCTTTCCTCGCGGCCGCCCAGCCGTCCTTTTTCCCGGCTCTGGCTCTGCCTCCGGCGGCGTTGGCGAAGCCCATGCCGGACCCGGGGCTGGCCGGGGCGGCCGAGGCCGGGCTGCACGTCTCGGCCCTGGGACACCACCACCAAGCCGCCCATCTGCGCTCGCTCAAAAGCCTGGAACCCGAGGAGGAGGTCGAGGACGACCCCAAAGTAACGCTGGAAGCCAAAGAGCTTTGGGACCAGTTCCACAAGCTGGGCACCGAGATGGTGATCACCAAGTCCGGGAGGTAAGAGCCGGCCCCGCGCAGCGCCCCCGGCCCGCCCCGCACCTGCGCGGCCGCGCAGCGCCCTCGCCCCTCGCTCCATCCCGCTCCCCACCCGTCCCCGGGAGTTAACGCCGGGACTTTCGATCCCTGGAGTTTTTGGGATGTGTTTCCCCGCTGCTCCTCCGAGCTTTCCCGTCACCGCTTCCCCCGCCTCCCATTACTACTTTTCCGAGCGCGATCGCGAATTAAATTCGTGCGCGTTAATTGAGCGCTCGACACCCCCCGCTCCCGTTCTTTGCGCCGCTTCCCGCCGCTTCCTTCCCTCCTGCCAAACTTTCCCCACGTCCGGGGTCGTCCCCGGCCCTGCCCGTGGCCCCGGGCCCGGGGGAGGCAGCCCGAGGTGCTGAGCGAGCGGCTCGGCGAAGGGCAGAGAAATAGAGGAAAACAAGAATACATTTTCTCCCCTTATTTCCCGAAATGGGATTTTTTGAGCTTTTCCCCGCTTTCTGCCACGGTGTGGGCAGCACGGCGGGGATGAGAAGAGGTGGGACCTGAGGAAGGCTGGGAATCCTCAGCGAGCTGAACTAAAAGATGGTGGTTTGGGAGCAGCAGCCGGGGCCGGGCGGTGCCGGGGGCTCGGTGGGACCGGGGCCGTCGGGGGTCGGCGGCGGGCGGGGGCAGCCCTGTACCGCTCTGGGTCTCTCCGCAGGAGGATGTTCCCCCCGTTCAAGGTGCGGGTGAGCGGCCTGGACAAGAAGGCCAAGTACATTTTGCTGATGGATATAGTGGCGGCCGACGACTGCCGGTACAAATTCCACAACTCGCGCTGGATGGTGGCTGGCAAGGCCGACCCGGAGATGCCCAAGCGCATGTACATCCACCCCGACAGCCCGGCCACGGGCGAGCAATGGATGGCCAAACCTGTTGCCTTTCACAAGCTCAAGCTCACCAACAACATCTCGGATAAGCACGGCTTTGTAAGTGCGGCTGCGGGGCAGAGCGGAGCCCCCCGGGCAGGGACCCCGGGCAGGGACCCCGGGAAGGTGCGGGGTTTGCCCGGTGCGGGGTTGGCTCGGTGCAGGGTCTGCCCGTGATCTCCCCGGGTCAAACGCGAGGCTTTAGAGCCTCCCCCAGCCGGGCCGGGCTGAGCGGCCGGGCCCGGCCAGGCCTTGCTGTGGCCCGGCTGCCCCGCAGCCCCCGGTCCCGCCCGGCACCGAGGGGCAGCTCCGGTTCTCCGGGGGAAGAAGGAGGGTTGGGCTGCGGGCAGCTCGGGCTCCCCTTGCCTCCCGCACCCCCGGCCTGTCGTGCTGCGCCTGGCCAGCCCTGGAGGCTCTGCGGGAACGGGAATTTTGGGAGGTGGGTGTGCGGGGAAGCCCCGACGGGGCGGTGGCCGGGCTGGGGACGCCGCTGCCCCCCGGACCGAGCGGAGCCGGGCCCGGCGGCACCTGCGCTGGGCTCCGCAGGCGGGAGAAGGGCTGGAATTGTTGGCACCATCTGCCTCTGAAAACCCCTCTGTTTACATCCCTCCTGATGGTATCTGCATCACCTAAAGGAGGTGAAACAAAACGAAGGAATTAAGCCAAAAAGCTACCAACCAAAACAAACAAAGAAAGGAAAAGGAGAGAGGGAGAGAGAAAAGAAAGACAGGGAGAGAGAAAAGAGCGCTGGCCATGCAGAGAGCCGCAGAAAGCGGGGTCAGAAGGCGAGGGGAGCGCGATCCTGCGGGAATGCACGGAGGGGAAATCCCAGGCAGCTCTCCTTCCTCCGAGCCAGCGTTTAGGGCGATAAAGGGAAAGTTCATCGTGCAGCGCTGCTGATACGGTAATTAGCGGGGAGCCGGGCCCGGCGGAGCGCCGGGGCTGCGGGACCCGCTCGGGCGGGGAGCTCCGAGCAGCTCCGCACCTCCCGGAGAACTTTCTTTCCCCTCTCTTTTTTATTTTTTCCCTTCTGTATTTTTTCCACTCTCTCTCTCTTTTTTCTTCTTCTTCTTCTTCTTTTTTTTTTTTTTTTCCCCCTCTCATTTTTATTTTTTTCTCTTAAGGCAGGAAACAGCGTCTTTGTTAAATAATACATTGCGAGGTTATTTATAGCCAGAAAGGTAAATCGATAGAGAAGGAGTTTAAAAAATACCTTCTTTTTTTTTGTACTGGTGAAAAACTAGTTTGATTCAGCGCTTTTAACGGTTCGCCTCCTTCAATTAAAGATTTCTGGTATCTGTCGTTGTCCAAAATCCGGACTGTTAAATCTGCGAGATGAGGGTTTAGCCAGTGCCCATCTGGTCAGAGAGGGATGATTATTTTTTTAAAGGAATGCAGATTTGCACGCCTGAATGAGACTTTTTGCACCATTTTTATGATAAATCCCATCTAGATTATATCAATATAACAGCAATCCGACAGTTCATCAGCAGGTGATTATTGCTTGGGTTAAAAAAAAGGGGGGGATTTTTTTTATTACCTTCTAAACCGAAATGAAGTGATAATTATTTAGCCATTTGGCTGATGTTATTTGACAATAATTACTCAAGCTTTCGCCGTCCCTCTACGAATTCTGGGCAGTGAATTCTGCATTTCAGTGCGACCACAGCAGGTTGGGGAATTATTTAAAAGCTATCGTGCAGGAAAGCAGGCAGCGAGGGGCAAGGGGTCGGAGCGGCCCCAGGGGCGCGGCTTGGAGCGTTCAGCCGCTTCCAAAAATCCTCAGCCAAATCGCGGGGAATTCGGGTTTTACTAAAAAAAAAAAAACCAACAAACCAAACTCAAAAAATAAAACGAAAGGGTAGAAAACGGCTTGGAGTGTTGGCGAGGCTTTCAGACACCTGGCTGGAAAGGGGAAAAAAAAAAGTCTGTTCCTTCTGCAACGTTGCTCCGAGACATAAATTTGCTATGGCTCGTGGTGAAACGCTCCTTTCAGGTCGCAGGAGCTGCCTGGGGCTGGCACCGGCTCCTGCCGCCCCCGACACTCACCCAGAGCCTTTTAACATTATTTTTTTTGTGGTGGTGAGGGATAGTAATTTATTTTTAAGGACGGAAATATGAAAAGCGGTGAGAAACGTGTCGAAAAGTCGCCTCGCGTTCGCAGGGTTGTAATAAAACTGGGAGATCCTTTTTGCTGCTTTATTGCCGTGCTTAACACCCGCAAAGATGCTGTTCTGCCTGCGTTCCCTGACCTCCCTCTTTGGGGACAGATCCTGCAATGGCATCAACAAAAAAAAAAAAAAAAAGAAATCTTCTGGCATTGCTTCCTCTCGGTGAATTTGAGTGGTGTATTTTTTGGGGGATGTTTTTGGGAGAAAAGGGTGTTTTTTCGGGAGGGAGCTGGACGCGTGGGGCTGACGGCAGCCGCGGGCTGTGCTCTCTCGCCCATCCCAGACCATCCTGAACTCCATGCACAAGTACCAGCCCAGGTTCCACATCGTCCGGGCCAACGACATCCTCAAGCTGCCCTACAGCACCTTCCGCACCTACGTGTTCCCCGAGACCGACTTCATCGCCGTCACTGCCTACCAGAACGACAAGGTATGGCCGGGCAGCCCCTGGCCCTGTTCCTCCCCCTGTCCTGTCCCCATCCCCGTCCTGTCCCTGTCCCTCTCCCTGTCGTCACCCCTGTCCCATCCCTTACCCTGTATCAGGGTATTTTTCTGTGTGTGCGTGTTGGCGAGGATATTTGGGGGCAAAACCCAGCAACAGTAGAAAGGTTAAACCTCAAGCCCTCAGAGTAGGATGCACCCTCATACTGCTTGTATTATTATCGCTACTTTTAGTGTTATGTTATTATTATTTTTATTATTACTACTAATAATTCCCCCATGGAGTTTGTTGTGCCTTTCTGGGCTGTGGGGTCTTTGCTGCAGGCCCAGGCGGTGAAGAGCAGCACCAGGCCTGGGCAGCCTCACCAAGAAGGTGCCCAGGGCTCTGGAGGAGCCAAAAAACAGAGGCAGATAAGCTAATTTTAGTTGCTTTCGTGATTTAGCAAGTGTCACCCTGCGAGCAGGCAGAGCCAGGAGCGCTCGATGGGGAGCAGAGCCCCTGCCGTCCCCTTCCAAGGGTTCTGCGTGTGTTTTAACCCAAAAGCTGACCCCCACCTCCACCCCTGGCTGCTGATGCTAATTGACAGCTCTGTCTGAGGGTCCTGGTGGGCTTGTTTCCCTCGTAAAGTTTATGGCGAAGAGTCACAATCGATTAAAGAGCACTTTGTCTGCGCGGCCGCCGCCGGCCGTGGGCCCCGTCGGGCGGGGGATGCTCGGGCCGGGGGATGCTCGGGCCGGGGGTCGCGGCGGGGCCGGCCAGCCGGGTCTTTTCCCGATCCCCTCTCGGGGCCGTGGTTCAGGGCCATGCATTATTGAGCGCCCTGATGTCGCAGCAGCCCGTGGCAGGGAGGGATAAGAATAGCTTTTAACCAGCGCCGCGCAGCTCAGTCGCCATCTTCCCTCCGGGGGGCCGTGAAAAATAACTTCCTATCATTAAGACGCTATTAATAATTCAAGCCCAAACCTCAGCATCATTTTTAATAAAGCGTGCGGTGTGTTAACGCGGGTTCCGCCGCGCACCCTGCGCTCCCCGACGGCGGCGGGGAGAGGGGGCGGCCGGGGCTCCTTCACACCGCCCCCTCTCTCCTTCTCCCCCCGGCAGATCACGCAGCTGAAAATCGATAACAACCCCTTCGCCAAAGGCTTCCGGGACACGGGGAATGGCCGGAGGGAGAAGAGGTAAGGGGCGCGCCCGTCCCCCCGGCCCCGCGCCCGCGGGGGCTCGGCCGGTGCCCGACGCTGCCTCTGTCCCGCAGGAAGCAGCTGTCCCTGCCGTCCCTGCGGATGTACGAGGAGCCCTGCAAGCCCGACCGCGACGGCGGCGAGTCGGACGCCTCGTCGTGCGAGCCCTCGGCCGTGCGCGATGCGCTGCACTCGCCCGTGGGCGCCCTCCCCAGCCCCCTGCGCCTCAAGGGCAGCGGCAGAGGTGAGGCAGCAGTCGCCGTCGGTCCCCAAATGTCCCCAAACGCTCTGATTTCATGCGGGCAGCGAGGGAAAATATTGGGGGAAATAAAGATGGGGATGCGCCCAGGGGAGACGAGGGTTCAAAAGGATAAAAATAGAGGAAAGGCAAAATGCATTCAGGAGTTGCAATGTTTGGGGGTTTTTTCTTTATGTATTTTCTTTTGAATGTATATTTGATGCTCTATCCACCTGATGTCTTGTATTTAAATTATACAAGAAGAAATGGCAAAGCAGCCTGTGTGCTCGCCATGTTAGCCCGGCGTGCCCTGCCTTCCATGGGAATCTCACACTCCCCTAAAAAAGACAGAAAAAAAGAGAAAAGAAAAATAATTCATACGTTTGAAAGAGGAAAAAAATGTTGTAACTTCAGGGCTTCAGGCTGGTAAATGGAAATAAACCAGCATCTCCCACGCTGCTGGGTTCGATGCTGGGTTTTGTCTCGCCGCACTATCAATCTGCTCTTTAAACTTTCCACCAACTCGATTCCCTGCAAACCTTCATCAAAACTGCAACCCCCCGCCCCGAGCTGCAGGGAGGGTTTATTACACCCCTCTCCACTTTCAAAGGCTTCCCCGAATATTTGCCCCAGCCTGCAGAGCTTCACCTCACCCGCACCAAAAGGCTTTTCTCGTTTAGTGGAGCCTTTCAGGCAGGGCTCAGCTCCCCTCGCCCTCGCCAGCCCCTCGCCTCGCATCCCCCTGCCTCCTCTGAGAACTCAATGGGGTTTTTTAAATTAAAGTCCTTTTTAGAGAAGTCCGTACCATGCTCCCAGCCTTAAAACTGCCTCTTTAACCTGTCTCAACCTGCACGTTTGGAATAAATCCACGGTGCACTGGCAATCAGCTCCATGTAATTAAATATACGCAGGACCATTTCCTCCTGCGCTGCCCACTGCCCGCTCTCCTCGTCCCCGCTCCGCTCCCGCTTGGGCTTCGCAGCTGAGGAGAGAGATGTCACAGATTCTGGTTCTCCATCGAACATGCTTTTCCTGTCTGCCACATCCACAGGGCTTGCTGCCGTTGACCCCCATTCCCCAGAGTGACCATGGCACGAGGACCCATTTCTGCCCCCAAAACCGAGTCTCTCCCATTAATAACGATCTCACTGCCCAACCTCCCCCTGACACCGGGGCTCTTGTGAGTGACCCCTTCCTCGCCTCCCCTGGGCGCTTCTGCTCTGACCCTGTGCCCTTCCTTGCAGAGGAGAAGCCAGGGGCTGACAGCGACACGGAGGTGGAGAAGGTGCCGGAGGAGCGGCCGGTGGCAGCAGCCAGCCCCAGCGCGGAGGACGCGACGCCCCGCGGCAGCCCCCGGTGCCCGGAGGAGCGGGGCAAGGAGAGGCACAGCCCGGAGAAAGGCAAGGACGGAGCGTCCCCCCGGGAGGCTCCTGGCGAGGGCCTGTTCGGCACACGGGGCCTGGAGAAGGACAAGGTGGAAGGAAGGAGGAAAGAGACGGAGCCGGGCAAGAAGGACACGGAGGGCGGCGGGCTGGGCAAGGAGGCCTTCGCCCCGCTGATGGTGCACACGGACAGCCCCCCGCACCTGAGCACCGGGCACCTGCAGAGCCTGGCGCTCTCCGGCCTCCATGGGCAGCAGTTCTTCAGCCCGCTGGGCGCTGGGCAGCCCCTCTTCATCCACCCAGGACAGTTTGCCATGGCCCCCGGCGCCTTCTCTGCCATGGGCATGGGACACTTGCTGGCCTCGGTGACCGGCGGGGGCAGCCTGGAGAACGGAGCCCTCTCGTCCGCCCCGGGAGCAGCAGGGACGGCCACCCCCTTCCCTTTCCACCTCTCCCAGCACATGTTGGCCTCTCAGGTAAGCCCTGTGTCCCCATCCCTACCCCTGCTGTCCAGTGGGGCGCTGGAATCTCCTCTTCATGTCCTCCCTAAAAGCTCCCTGAGGGATGATGCAGGTCAGGCCTGGCCAGTGTCACCCCCAGTGTGGGGACATCCAGGGTGGCCCCATTGCAGGGAAGGAGCTGCTGGTCCCCTCTGCAGCCCACAGGGACAAGGGGTGACACACCCCTGAGTTGTTACCAGATTTGGCACAGGCAGAGCACGGAGGACATTTTGAAGGCGTCTTTGGGGTTGATTTGAGAAGGAATCTCAGTTTTTGTGCAGCTGTTGTGGCTCCTCCATAGTCAAGGGCAGAGTCAGGAGCTGTGGCCCTGCCTGACCTGGCTGTCCCCATCCAGCAGCTCCCTGTCTTCCTGTCAGCTCTGAAGTGCTCCCACAGTGCCTGCGCTGGTGCTGCCTTTCCCATCTGCTCTGATGGAATACATAAAGATGTCTTTGAACTCCCCTAATTTATCCACCCTGCTTAACAATGTGTTTTAATGCGGTTACGGGGCTGTGATGCTGCACAGGCAGCGTGCGGGGAGGGGATGGGGCAGATCTCAGGGGTTTGTGCTCAGTGTGCCCAGCCTGGCTCGGGATGGGCTGGAAGGGGCTGTTCCCCCTCCCTCAGCCACACATATACCCCACGCTCTTTTCAGGGTGACACCGAGCTGTTCCATCTTTGCCGTTTTTTGGGAACCCATCCGTGGCGGGGCACACAGGAGCGCGGAGGCAGCAGAGCATGCTGACAATCTGACATCTCTCTCTCTCTCCCCCCAGGGAATCCCGATGCCCACCTTCGGCGGACTCTTCCCCTACCCCTACACCTACATGGCAGCGGCCGCCGCGGCCGCCTCGGCCATGCCGGCCAGCAGCGCTGCCGCCGCGGGGCCGCTGTCCCGCAACCCCTTCCTGGGCAGCAGCCGGCCCCGCCTGCGCTTCAGCCCCTACCAGCTGCCCGTCACCATCCCGCCCAGCACCAACCTGCTGACCACCGGCCTGCCCGCCAGCCTCAACCCCGGCTCCGAGGGCTCCAAGGCCGGCAGCAGCCGCGAGTCCAGCCCCCTGCCCGAGGTGCACAAGGGGGGCGGCCAGCGCCCCGCCGCCTCCCCCAAGGGCTCGCTCAAGGAGTCCCTCAATGAACTGCAGAACATCCAGAGACTGGTGAGCGGGCTGGAGAGCCAGCGGGAGCTGTCGCCCGGCAGGGAGTCCCCGAAGTGAGCGGCGGGGCGGCGGGGCGGACAAGCACTGGTATTTTGTACAGCACAGTAGAAATATTTATTGCCGGGAGCAGACAGGGAGCGGGGTGCTGCAGCGGAGGGATGGACCCTGCCGGCCGTGAGGATCCACCGGAGCCAGGAGGGGCAGCTGGAGCGCAGGGCTTGCCCACTCCCCCTCGGCTGTGGGGCTGGGAGCGGCTCCCCCCGCTCCAGCGAGACCCCCAGGACCCCCCAGCCCCCCGCTCCGGGCAGGGTGAGGAGCTGGTGCCGAGACTCCTGATGGACGGGGCGGCCCCTGCTCCGGTGGGGAGCGAGAGGGGCCAAACCCTCATCTGTGAGAGGGGAGGGGGAAGGAAAAAATAATTTAAAAATTTAAAAAAAAAAAAAAGAGAGATAAGAAAAAGGAAGATGGAAAGCAAACCGCCTCGGCAGCCACCGCCGAGCAGGGCGGGCACGGCGGGGGGAGCCTCGTGGGTACCTGGGCAGATATTTATGAAATAAATGGTAATTTGTGTAAATAAGCTATAAGGATCCCAGAATATGCAAATTGGTATTAATTTATTCAGAGTTGTACATTGGTGTGTACATAATATTTAGAGTTTAACTCCTCGCATTTAAGTTTTTTTCGTTTTTTTGTTTTTTTCATTTTACATGAACATATATATTGTAAATGAAAACTATTTAGCTCTTTGTGATTGAAGGAGATATCGGTTTCTCTGTGTTTTAAAATATTGTTTATCCCGCCTGTTCTCTAGGACAATCATGTGCCACTGATAAAACAATTTTTGGAGTCATTAAAACTAAGATTTCAATCCTTTAACGGACTTTTGCAAGGAAAAAAATAAACTAACGAATCCAAAACGTAACTAAAACATTGTTACAGTGCGGGGTATAGAGAATGCAGGAATAAACCTCAGGTTTTTATTTTTCACTCCAGAACAAAAAAAAAAAGTATAATAAATTTAAATATCACAGGACTGTGCTCTATATTTGTTTTAAAATAAAAAGATACATGATTTGCAACGTGCTGGTTACTCGGGTATCTGTCTGTTCAGTTTTGATGAATTCTCACATCTTTCAATAATAAAAAAAACCCTCTACTCGGAGAAGTCCTGCCGCCTCCCGCCTGTTTCATTCCCGCGGCCGCTCCGCCCCGTCGGGGCCGGGCTCCTCCGCAGGTGCGCAGCGCGGGGAGCCGCCCCTTCCGCGCTGCGCGGAGCCTCCGCGGCTGGCGGGGGAAGCCCGAAACGCCCCGGGCCTCGCAGGGCACGACCCGCCGGCTCTGCCCGTCGGGGGTCGCGGCCCCCCGGGATTCACCGCGGGGCAGGTGCGCGGGGGCGGAGGGGAAGCGGCACCGGGACCCTGCGCGGGTTCCCGGGGCAAAGCAGAGCCGGCAAAGCTCCGGGACCGGCGGGGAGCGCTGCTGGCACCGGGACCGAGCGGGGCAGAGCGGCACCGGCGGCCCGGCGGAAGGGATAACGGGGAGGGATAACGGGGAGGGATAACGGGGAGGGGGTGACGGGGAGGGGGTGACGGGGAAGGGATGGCCGGGCACGCCGGTGCCGTCCGGGATGGTGACGGAGCGACCCGGGCGTGCCGCTACCGCCGGGGATGGGGCCGCCGTGGGCTTTAAATGCCCCCGTTTGCCCCCGCGCCCGGAGCCGGGATTCCTGCTTTGCTCAGCCAGTCCCGGTCCCCGGCGGGATCGCGGTCCCGGTGGAAGGAGCAGCGATCCCTCATTTCCGGGCCATTCCCGGTGGAAGGAGCAGCGATCCCTCCTTTCCCCGGCCGGTCCCAGTGGGAGCAGCGATCCCTCCTTTCCCGGCCATTCCCGGTGGAAGGAGCAGCGATCCCTCCTTTCCCGGCCATTCCCGGGGGAAGGAGCAGCGATCCCTCCTTTCCCGGCCGGTCCCATTCCCGGGCAGCGATCCCTCCTTTCCCGGCCATTCCCGGGGGAAGGAGCAGCGATCCCTCCTTTCCCGGCCGGTCCCATTCCCGGGCGGGCGCAGGGCGCCCTCTGCTGGCGCCGCCGCGCAGCCCCGACGGGGCGGGCCCGGCTCCTCCTCGGCCTCCCCCGCGGGCACGGAAGGGGCTCTGAACCCCCCAGAGTCCGAGGAGAGGTGTGGGGTGGGTTCCTGGGCGGGGGAGAGGAGATGTTGCCTCTGTGGTTATTTCTGCTCGCAGGGGACCAACGGGGTGGGGATGCCTTCCTCAGGAAGTGTGGTGATTAAACTGAGGTTTGCAGGATTATTTCTGAATAAACAGGGCTCAGGATGAGCAGCAATTTAATGGGCTCTGTGTTCAGTGAGGGGGCACAAGCTGTGCCAGTGTAGGGGCTCCTCTGGCCATTTTCCCCCTAATCCATCCAGGCTGGATTTTGGCTCAGGTGGTTGGGAGAATCACAATGGGGAGATGGTGACAGTGCTGCAGAACATGCTGGGGCAGCCTCACGATGGGTTCCTGCCATCCTGGCAGCTCAGGACAGCCCTGTCACCCATCCTGGACTGGGGACCAAGCAGGACAATCCCAACCTGCCCACAAAGCCCCTCTTCACTGGGGAGGGGAAAAGTGTTCTGTGGGTCCATGAGTGACCCCGAGGAGCAGTGCCCAAAGGCAGGGAGCAGGGCCTGCCCCCCAGCCAGGCTGTTTCAGCAGGAGCCAAGCTGCTCCACGCCTGCCCTGGCCTTCCCCAGGCTCTGAGAAGCCCCATTCAAGCAGCTCGATGAGCAGCTACCGATTAGTCACGCACTGTGCTGGGATTGCTTTTCCTCAGCTGTGGAAAGGCGCTGGAGGCCCCGCGGGGGCACACCCGGCTCGGCCCCCCCATGGCTCTGCTGCTCTGCCCCTTGGCCGTGCCACTGCGGCCACTGCTGAGTCACAAAAATAAAGTTCTGGGTGTTCTGGTGCTGCCTGGAGCTGGTGTTTTACCACCTGAACGCTGGTGCTGTGTCACCAGAGCAGCGAGGTCCTCACCCACCAAAATCTCCACTAGGTGAGTGGTGAGTTCTGGATTTCTTCAGCCGAATGCACGAGGTGCTTGGCCAGGCACTAAAAATAGCAGAGCTGCCCTGAGGGCTTCGTGGGGCTGCTGGACAAAGCCCGGCTGCCTTGGCCGAGCTGCCGAGCGGCACAATAGCGCTGCTGGAAGGGCTCCATGGGCGGGTGTTTGTAAACAGGAACGCGAGCTCATGCCAGAGCATCCCGCAGCCCTGCAGAGGGGGACACGGATCGTGTCCCTGGGCAGCCCAGGGGGGCTCTGCAGGACCCCTCGCCCCTCAGCTGGGCCCTGTGTTCGTGTCGTACCACAGGGCCACTGTGAATTTTGGGTCATGGACGTGGGGCAGAATAGCAGAACCAAAGAATGGTTGGGAGGAATCTTAAAACCTGTCATGTTCCAAGCCCCTGCTGTGGGTAGCGACACTTTCTACCAGTCCAGGTTGTTCCAAGCCCCATCTAACCTGGCCTTGAACACTCCCGGGGATGGAACAGCCACAGCTTCTCTGGGCAAGCTGTGCCAGGGCCTCGCCACCCTCACAGGGGAGGATTTCCCACCAACATTTAATCCAAATCTCACCTCCTTTAGTTTAAAATCATCTCCCTTGCCCTGTCTGTGTAAAAAGTCGCTCTCCATTTTTTATAAGCTCCCCTGAAATACTGAAAGCTGCAGGAGGGGCGAGGGTCTGAGAACGCTGCCGTGGAGCTGGGCACGCCGCGGTGCCAGCACCCTGCCCCCCACCAGGAGCTGCTCCAGCCCAGGGCCTGCCACACACAGCATCAAATCCCTCACTGGAATTTTCAACGAGCATCTGCCGCTCCCGACCGTGCGAGCGCGGGGTGCGGCCGTCGGGGAAGGACGGACGGACAGACGGACGGAACGGGCGCGGGTGGGCGGTGGGGCGGCAGCTCCTTCTGTCGGGCTGGCGCCGCGCTGCCTCCGCACCCGGGACAAAGCGGAGCGGGCCGAGCTCCCAATTAGGGCCCCGCTCCCAATTAGGGCCCCGCTCCCCGCGGAGCGCAGGGGGCGCGGCCGCGGGCACGGCCCCGGAGCCCCAAATCAGCCGCGGGGCCGCCGCTGTGTCTGCGGCTCCCGATGGCGGATCAATGGACAGAGGGCAGCGGCGGGGCCCCGGCGGGCTCTCCACAGCCGGTTCTGCCACCGCCGGCCCCGGTCCCGGCCGGACATCCCCGCCACCTGCACGCCCGGGGCGGGATGCGCGGCCGCGGCTCCGCACCTGCGGCCGCCCGGGAGCGATGGGGCTGTGCGGGGAGCCCCGGTGTGAGCCCAGCCGGTGAGAATCCCCCTTGTCTGAGCACCCGGACCCTCTGCCTGGGTCCTTCCCGCGGGCACCCCCATCTCAAAGGTTTCTTAGCCCCATTCCTCCGGTTCTGGCCCGTTCCCCGCGCGGGGCACGGTCCTTGTCCCGGGCCGGGGCTGTGGGAAGGAGCGGCCGGCCAGGCTGTTCCCTGCTACAAGGTTCCCAGAGCCGCTTTGATCCGTGTGGGTGTCTGGGGGGCGGAGGGGAGGGGGGGCAAAGGCATTATCAGTGAAAAAGCAGCTGTTTATTTTGATACGGAGCCGGTTCTTAGCCGCAGGCACCGTTTGCTCCGTCCTTGCTCTTCGGGCAGGGTGGGAAAGGGGAAAGGGGAGGCTCTCGGTTTATTCCGGTTGTTTACAGCGGCGGGTGATGGCGAGGCACAGCCGGGTCCGTCGCCCCCCGGCGCCCGCCCGGGCCGTTCCCAAGCCTTCCTCGGAGCCGCGCCGGGAAGGGAGGAGGCTCCGCTCGGGACATCCGACGGGATGAGCGAGGCTCCCGGCGGGGGGAGCCCGGCCGCCCCCTCCGCTGCTCTGCTGCGGGGGAAACACCGCTCCCAGCCCGGGCCAGCGGCACGGGAGCGGCACCGCTTGGCTGGGAGGTGGCAGAAAACCCAAGCCCGAACCCAAGCCCGGAGCCCGGCCGCCCCCTCCGCTGCTCTGCTGGGGGGGGAACACCGCTCCCAGCCCGGGCCAGCGGCACGGGAGCGGCACCGCTTGGCTGGGAGGTGGCAGAAAACCCAAACCCAAACCTAAACCCAAGCCCAAACCTAAACCTAAATCTAAACCCAAACCCAAATCTAAGCCCAAACCCAAACCCAAACCCAAGCCCAAATCTAATCCCAATCCCAATCCCGGTTTTCCCCGGCCCCAAACCGGGAATGCCGGCGCTGTCCCGGGCTCGGCCGCCAGGTGGCGAAGCGGCTCCGCGCCGAGGGGCGGCCCCGGGAGCGCGGCCGGGCCGGGGGTCCCGGGGGGTCCTAGAGGGTCCCGGGGGTCCTAGAGGGTCCCCAGAGGGTCTCGGAGGTCCTAGAGGGTCCCCAGAGGGTCCCTGGGGTCTCAGAGGATTCCAAGGGTCCTGGGCGTCCCAGAGGTTTCCAAGGGTCCCACAGGGTCCCAGGTGCCCCCAGAGGGTTCCGGGGGTCCTAGAGGGCTCCCTGGGGTCTCAGAGGATTCCAAGGGTCCCACAGGGTCCCGGGTGCCCCCAGAGGGTTCTGGGGGTCCTAGAGGGTCCCCAGAGGGTTCTCCGGTGGTGCAGCCCCTGCCGGGGGTCCCCAGAGGGTTCCCCGGAGGCAGCAGAGCATATGAGCAGCACTGTCAGTGATGCCCAGGGTTTGGGTTCCTGAAGCCCCCAGGAGTGGGGGATCTGTGGCAGGAACCCCGCGTTGTGCCCGCCCTCCCGTCCATCTGTCCATCTGTCCTGCCGCCTGCACGGCCATGTTGCACCTTTCTGGGGCGTTTGTGTGGGTGCTGTTCCCTTTTTCTGTTCATGTGTCCATTGAGCAGCTGTCAGGTGGATTGTCGAGGACCTGGCTGGATCATTCTCCACCTTCGTGGGTTCTGCTAAAAACTCACCCACTGCACCTCCAGAGCCCCTTGGAATGCAGGGAATACTCGCTCCGAGCCCCTCCAAGCAGCTGGAAGCAGAGATGCTGTGTGTTCTGCACGGAACGTCTTCCATTGCCTGGGGAATTAATGGATGAAATCATGCAGGAAAGGCTGCTCCTCTCCCCTTGGCATTGCTGGGAGCACAGGTACATCTGTCCTTTGCTTCCCATTGATTCCTGTAAATGG